AGCCAGGGCTTGTTGTGCTGACATCTTATTTATCCATGCAACATCAATTATTGCTCCATCAATTCTACTATATACATGTCCATTTGTCTGGGTGAAGTCCCTTCCTCCTGTATGTAATTTAGATAAGTTGCAATCAATCAAACATTCTCTAAAGCCTTTTGTTTCTGCATCATGCACTTGACTACCAATAAGTCTGTCTTCTTGTGTTAGAATAGAATTGAAATCCCTCATAATCAACCATGGCTCAGTTATATGATTGTTCAGCTGGTGTAAATTAACCACATACTATTATGAACGGGAATTGCACAACATTATGTTTTATATCCACCAACCCATGTATATATTGATCTGATTTATCCATCCTACTAAAGTTAATTTCATTAGGATTCGAAACTACCTAGATTCTCCTTCTCACAGTGGTGTTTGCATTGGTGCACCACTCCTAGTGTGGCATAACTTTATTTATTATAAGACTTGCTCTTTATGATCTAACTATATGTTCACATATTACTATGAGATTCACTTTATTCCTCCTTACAAATAGTTTTATCTCTTTATGCTTCACCTCTTGGATGAAGCCTCTCACATTTCATGTTACTATGCAATAATAATTAAAATACAATCAATCTAAATGAGCTAAGTCTAAGGAAAGGGAAACAGTAACCTACTAACTTGCTTGTCTAGAATATCCATATGTTCCTCCTCAAAAGCCAAGGACAGATCAAGATGAACAGAATTCCACTAAAATACGTGAGACTCATCGAGAACATACCGTCTCAACATAGAGACATGAAACACATGATGAACACTCGAAAGGGTTGGAGGCAAGGCTATTTTATAAGCCACCCCTCTTATCCACCTTAGAATCTCAAACAAATCGATGAACCTGGAGCTAAGATTGTCCCTCCTTCAGAACCTCATCACTCCCTTCATGGGAAGCACCTATAGAAATACCCGATCACCAACCATGAATTCTAAGGGCAACAATTTTTTTCTATCAATATAGCTCTTCTGCCTACTCTAGGCAGAATGGAGTCACTCTTGGGTCACACAGACATTATCCATAGAATCATGCAATAAGCCATCTTCCCACGGTCTAACCTCAAAAGTATCAAACTAGCCTACCGTAGAATGAAACCTCTTACCATGTAACTCCTCGAATAGGGCCATCTGAATACTCAAATGGTAGTTGTTATTCTATTCAAAATCTGCCAAAGCTAAGAACAGATCCCACTGACCCCCAAAAATCTATAACATAGGCCTGAAACATATCCTCCAAGACCTAAATAGTTCTCTTGGGCTGAGCATCAATTTAAGGATGAAAAGTTGTACTGAGCTCAACTTGGGTATCCAACTCTCTCTAAATAGACCTCCACAAATGTGATGTGAATTGAGTGCCATGATTTGAAATGATAGACACCAGCACCTATGCAAATGGACAATATTTCTAATGTAAATCTGGTAATCCTCTCCGAACTGTAGGTATTATGAACCGGTAGAAAGTGAACAAACTTAGTCAATCGATATACCAAGACCCAAATAAAATCAAAACTCCAAAAAAGTACATGGCAATCCTACCACAAAGTGCATGGTTATGCAGTGCCATTTCCACTTCGGAATGGGTAACCGCCAAGTCAAACCACATGGCTTCTGGAGCTCCTATTTCACCTGTTGATAGTTCAAGCACCTAGCCACGAGCGCCATAATGTTTCTCTTCATCCCACACCACTAGTAGTTCTACCTCAGATCACGATACATCTTCACAGAACTGAGATGAATAGAATACCTAGAAAAATAGAACTCCTACGATGACTGACTGTAGGGAACTCTTGTGGAAAAAACCCCACTATACCAAACTCAAAGAAACCCAACTAGAAGCAAAACTGTTGAGATGATTTGGTTGAATTTGATTGGCCACCACAACCTCAATACGCCAAACGTGCACCCTGAGAAATCATAACTGGAGCCTGGTCCATCTAACCACTAGCACATGCAGTGCCACCATCTTTGAGTTATAGAGATCCCCAAACCAGTTTATTAGGCTGAGACTGTTGCGGGTAACCTCTACCCAAAGACCCTCTACCACGGAATTGAGACCCATTTAAACAACTTGACGATAAGGTTTATTGTTGCTACTTCCATAGTCCTCATGATGGATCCTCTCAAAGGTGTATGTATGTTCAACTATCTAAAGAAAAGAATAGATCAATGCCACCATCTGCTATGTAGCCAACCGAAATGGAAATGAGAACCCTTAAAAAAATATGTGCACCCTTTCGTGTTTTGTCGGCATAACATAGCCGCATGTCTAACCAACTCATGAAATTACATCTCATACTCTACAGTTGACAATGATCCCTGAGTCAAGTCTATGAACTCATCCTACAACCTCTCCCTTAGGTTTCAAGGTACATACTTCTCTAAGAAAGCCTTAGAAAATTAAACCCAAGTCATTAAAGGTGAACTGGCTAGCCTGCACTCAATATAGGACCTCCATCACTACTTCGTTAACCACTCTAACTAAAATATAATGTAATCAACCCTGTGAGAATCCTCTAAACCAAGGTTATGTAGCCTCTCTTGACATATGACTAAAAATCATAGGCATTCTCGCCTCCGGCACCTGTGAACCTGAGAGGACCTAATCTAATGAACCTTTTTATATCTTCTGATCCTTAAACTACATATCCGGCCTAACTGCCATAGGTGGATCAAATGTTGAAACTGGCTTAACCACTAAACGAGGAGTCGCAATAGTATGATGTGCCCATGGAATCTGAACACCTTATGCCCCTGCCTAGGCTGAAGTCTGAGCCTCGTCTCAAACTTTGGGTCCACTTGAATTGCTAGGCAAAGTCCCTTCCTGTGAAATACTATACATGAAACTGAGGACCTTGGCCAAAGAATCCTGAAAAACTAGCGTGGCCACGAATCCTGGTGGAGGCTGGCTGGCCTCACACCATCTGACTAATGTTGAACATGCTCAACCTCTATCTCAGGCTCTGGTGATGGTGCCCACGCTTAGTCTTAAGTTAGTGTGGTTGCCCATACTCTACCTCGACCTCTACCCTTATCAGGGGATCTATTTGGAGGTGGGAGGCTCTCACTTATCTGCGGACGACCTCGTCCTAAACATCTAAGCAAGAGTGGAACAAATAGAGTTTAGATATTGTTACAATCATGAATGCATGATAAGAAATAAGTACAATGAAGTATTCCTAAGAACGCCCTATAGCCTCCTGAAAATTGGATACAAATGTCGGTGTACCGATCCGCAAGACTCTACTAGGTACTTGCTCTTGTACTGGCAAGACCGATAAACCTAAAGCTCTAATACCACGTTGTCATGACCCAAAATTGGGCCATGATGGCGCCTAATCGGGGGTTATACTAGGCACCATCATGACCCGATTTCAGGTCTCAAAACTTACCCAACCACTTTGGGAAGCGTGTCATCCAACACAACACCACACAAAATCTATAAGACAACTATGGGAAGGGGCAAGATAGTAAAAGCACACAAAAACCCATAAATGACCTCGAGAGTCATTACAAAATTGAGCCTTGCAACTCATGTTTTTGTTCCTAGAAGTGCCAAATCAGCAACACATGGAAAAGGTTTGCCATCAACTCATGTTTCTACAATTTTAAGTGATCATTTGGTGAGTTTCGTTGTTGAAAAGTTTTGTTTTCTAACACCTATTAACACTAAGAAACAACTATAAGTTGGTGGTAGTAGTCATTTCTCTCCAGATAGATTTGATAACCTACAAGATGAGGACATCTTTGAGGAAGGTGAGAAGAGGATGTGTTGGATCATTGTTTTGCAAATACCGCTAGGAATTTAATTATTTTTCCTGGGCAACAATGCAATAACAAAAAGAAACATGCATGAAAGAAAGACTAGTTAGGATGGCAAGATGACTAGGAATTTGTTCCAAGTCACCTTTCAATACTATTGGCAAAACAGAATCATACGACAATATCAACAACTTCAACAAGATCCACTAAACCCAAGAAAATGCGATGAACTATCAAGAGCTATTGGACAGATTGAAAGAAGAAGGCAGAAGAAAAATAATCTAGGTTACTTTAGAAGAGCAATCTATTCTTTTTAGTTCATCCATTTGTAAAAGAAAGTTTGAGTTTGATAACTCAACTTTCTTCTTGGCTTTTGTAACTTTGCATACTTAGGCATTCTCATGTAATAAACTCTATGATGGTCATTGAATACCTAATTTTCTCTAACTCTTATTTTCTTCATGTTTGTTATAATTAGAGGTTCATAACCTCATTAGAATTGGTAAGTAAAGTCTAGCCCCCATTATTTGTACTTATCCAATGGAGGATTTTTATTTTATTAATAATAAAATACCGCTAGAGGCATTGTCTAGTGGTATAAATTTAAAAAAAACTCATTTTCTTTTTATTATAAAAGATTAAAAAGTCTTTTTAATATAAAAAATATATAATTTTCTTGTATAGTGACTTAGTAATACGTTAAATCTTCTTTTGATGAAGTTTTATTTCGATATCTTAAGTTATAATTAATTCTAATTTTTAGCGATAGCCTTCTTATAATCACTAGAAAATTACCACTACATTTATTAAACAATTAATTGAAATGACTTAATAGGAAAAGGGATAGGAGAAGGAAGGTATCTATGCAGAATAAAAATGACTCACACCTTAAGGTCGAATGTAAATTTAAAACTCTATGGTTGGGAAGGAACTCCACAAGAAAGGAGGTCAAGAGCATCTGGGTATTTCCATTTCTACTTCAGCTGGAAAAGAATAGTCAGAGAGGAAGAAAATGGAGGAAGAGGAAAGAAGGTGAGGTCGGCTACCTACAGAGAGTTACGAGCTCAACCACAAGACTAGAAACCTCTATTGTAACAAATTTTGGTAACCACTACTCCACCAAATTATGTCTCTACAAAAGAAATGGAGGAAATCAGAAAATGAGGGAGAAGGAAAAAGAGCAAGATGTAAGAACCTACCTCTGCGAGCTGAGAAAGAGTGATAACATGACAAACAAGAGGATGGTGTTGATTGATCCAGAGTGAAAGGAAGAGGAAAGTTGGGTTCCATAGTGCTCCTTGCGGCGACAAGGGGAGAAACAAAAGGAGCTCAAATTTGGAAACCCTATCTTCAAGGGTTTTGATATAGATGCTAGTAGCTCCATTTGATGGGCTGGGCCAATTTTTCATTTTGTTTTTGGGCTAATCCAATTTTTGAAATGTTTTTTTTTGTGTGTGGATTTATTTAATAATGAATAAAAGGAGCTACAAGCTCCACTATTTAATTTTTTAAAAAAAGTTATCTCTAAACATATCAAATACTTGCAACTCACAAATTTGTTTAGGCATAATATATATATATATCTGTGTGTGTGGGTCATTTAACTTGGCCTCATTTCACATGTATGCCCTTAAACTTTTGGTTGGCACGAGTAGGCACTTAAATTCATATAAAGTTGAACAAGTAGTTACATGAGTCTTACGTGGCATAATACACATGGGACACCACATAGGATGCAAATTGTTATGTAAGATATCACGTAAGATGTGTGCATCTATTTGTTCAACCTTATACAAGTTTAAATGTCTATGTGGGCACACCCAACGTGGGAGGGCATAAACAGAGGCGGACCCACCCTTACCCGAGGGGTGTCAAGCGACACTCCTTCACCAAAAAATTACATTGTATATAGAGGTCAAATTTTGGTTTAATAAATAAATATATACAAGTATTGACACCTCTTGACATAAGTTTAAGGTTTAGTCTAATGGTTAAGGTGTTGTGTGTTTTAGTCCTACTAGCCCCATAGTTAGATTTTTTGTTACAACTATTTACAGCCCTTAATGACAATTTTGGGTCCACTATTGAGCATAAATATGAGTTAAGGTCAAGTTAAAGATATATTTGTGTATTATATCTTTTGTTTATGTTGTATATCTATGATTTTGTGTGTGTGCATGGATTTAATAATCAATGTTAACCGCACTAGATTTTCATATTTATATAAGTTCATAATGTGGCTGTATACTAGACTAACTATGGGATAATGTTTTCGTATTTTTTACACTATGGTATGATTTCATTGGGTCATAATGGTATCCTTTAGATTTTAGAAAATTTATTGCCTAACATTTCCAAATACGACTTGTACATTACATTGTTATTTCCTATGTTTCAATTTATGCAATATACTCTCTCTATTAATCAGTTTTTTTTTTTTGTTATAAAAAAAAAGTATTTTTCTATATTTAATAGTAACAATTTAGCTCCAAATTTTATTTTAATTACCCTTTAATCTTTATCATTAAGATTGAAACACTAAGATCATATCGAACTCTAGGTTTGCATATATTGGTATTTTAATTTTGTTATACAATGCATGTCCAACTTATTTAGTACAAAGTAATTTCAGTATTAATAGCTCAAATTAGGGGTGTACAAAATCGAACCGAAAATTGAACCAAACTGCAAACTGAGTCAAACCAAAAAAAATACTCGACTAGTGGTTTGGTTTGACTTGGTTTGGTATTGGAAAAAAAATCCGACTATATATTTGGGTTGGTTTGGTTTTAACTAAAAAAAACCAACCCGAGACCAAACCAACCCGACATTATATATGTAATTTTAAAATTGTATTTTATACATAAAAATATTTACTTTGATATAATTTTAAAATATTTCTTATACTATTTCATAGTTTTTATCTTTTAATATATTATTTCAAGTTTAAAACTTAGAATTCGGAATGGTCCAATAAAGATTATAGTTCATAGATGTTGATAATTATAATAAAACTTAAATCAAAATCAAATTAATACTAATGCGAAAAGAAAATCAATTCAACACTAAGAATGACAATAATATTGAATATTTGTTCTTTAGTTTTACATTGGTTTAGACAATTAAAATACATAATCTAATTTTAATTTTCCTTAAATATTTAGTAATGTAACTAATACTTATTAAACTTATTTTAGCATGATTTAGTACTTTTAAATTATGATCATTTTCATTATGACTTTGCAATATTTATTTTATATGATGATTTCATTATTATTTTTTATTGAATATTTTAGTGTCATTAGTACTCATCTCATATTTTGTGTTTTTTTTTTTTTAAGAAACACCTTAGATAATTGTATTTTGGTTGGACTAAAGAAATATTTGGAGCACAAGTTAGTTATATGTTTGTATGCAAACTTTACCGAAAAAATTCAAAAATCTAAAAAAATCCGAGGTTTATTAGTTTGGTTTGATTTATATATTTAAAAATTCGACACAATGGTTTGGTTTGGTATTTGAAAAATCCGAACCAACCGGAGATTGAAAAACCCAAAAAAATCCAAATTTTATTAGTTTGGTTTGGTTTATAAATTTAAAATTTTTACACAAATGGTTTGGTTTGATATTTGAAAAATCCAAACCAACCCGATCATGTACACCCCTAGCTCAAATTAATGTATAAATCACATATTCTTTATCTTTTTTATGCAATTGTTTTTTAGGATTTAATATTACATGTAAGTGTAGATATGAAGGAACGCTGCGGGTGTGTTTGGTAGGAAGGAAAATATTTTTTTCTCTAAAATATAAGAGATTTTTTAATTTAATTTTGGCATAATACATAAATATATCATTTAACTTGGCCCCATTTCATATTTATGCCCTCCAACTTTGGGTGTACACAAATAGGCAGTTAAATTTGTATAAGTTGAACAAGTAGACACATAAATCATATGTGGCATGATATACGTAGGACACCACGTAGGACACAAATTGTCATGAAGGATGTCATGAAGGACATATGTGTCGATTTGTTTCACTTCACACAAATTTAAGTGTCTACTTATACACACCCATAATTGGAGGGCATAATAGCTCATTTGTTTGTTTTTTTGGAAATTTGATTTGTGATGTACCTTGTCTTCTCTCTAATTCTTACCAATTGTTATTAAAATATTGCGTTATGATTTTAGAATAATGTTCTATCTAGTTCATTTAAAAATGATAATTTTTTGGGTCAAGCTTATCTTTGTATAAAATTTTGATTTGTGATGATGATAATCAACTTCATCAATGAAGATTATGCGTAATTTAGGATTAACAAGTATATTTATTTGGTACGATGGAGTATTCTTAATAGTTTCAAAATTTTAGTCATGTTTCGTGTTTTTTTGTTAAAATAAAAAAGTGAAATATATTTGTAAAATTACGATCCAACATATTTTCAACTCCATCCAAAGTTCACCCAAATTAATTTTCTTTTAAAAACTTTAAAACTCTATGACCGAACGCCCACTAAATCACAAGAGGTTCAAATAAATCGTTTTAATCCCTTAAATTGTTGTGATACGATCTCTACCGCTCACCAACTCTAAATCAACGGCTCTCCCCCACTGCTTATTTTCTCCACTTCTCCTCTTTTTCCGGATCTGGAATCTAATTATTTTTTTTATAAATATATAATTATGTTCCTACGGGGTGAACATACAAATAAAAAACAATACAAGTAACTCATTAATTTAATAATTAATAGGAGTTAATTTTTCTAGTGCAATATGTATTAAGTAATTATTAAAGAATAAGAAAAGATCAAAGCCTATTTGAATTGACTTATTTTAAGTGTTTTTAAGCTAAAATAATTTTGAAGCACTTTTAAAGTGTTTGGATAAATTTAAAAAGTATTTATAAGTAGTTTGTTTTAAGTTAAAACAATAAAAATAAAAATAACAGTAGTAATACAGTTTGAAGAATTACATCATTATTACTAGGGGTAAGGATGGGATGATACATAAACCAAAATTGAAATCTTTCATACTGCGGTTTCGATGCTATGACAATTTTTTTAAAATGATATTTTGTACAGTATTCAAGATTATTTATAAAAAAATTCCAAAATATCGAATACCGTACTTTTAAGTCAAAATAGCTTTAAGCAATTTTATTGTATTTGAATAAATAAAAAAATATATACATATTTATTTTTTAGACCCACAATCTGATCTTTTATTCCATAAAATATATGCAATAGTGATCCTTAGATGCTTTCAACTTCATTGAAAATTTTCATTGTTTACATTCTTACTTCATACGGTCTTGCTTTATGCCTCCAAACTTGTTGAGACGATCCGATCCTACGTGACATGAATCCATAATAATCAAACTTTAATGTGGATATTGGACAGCAAATTTTTTTAAAAAAAGAGTCCAAATCAACACTCTCCATGTCCTCTTTTTTCGGATCTAGAATCTCAAACGTAATCTTTTCATAAATATATACTTGTGTTCATACTAATAAAAAACAATACAAGTAACTCATAGCTGACCTTTTTCTGAGTGACACAAATCTCAATTAATTTATTAATTAATTAGTAGTAGTAGTTAATTTTTCTAGTACAATATGTATTATTAAATTGAATAAATAAAAGAATAAGAAAAGACTTTAAAAAAGCCTGTTTGGTTTAAAATATTTTATGGTATTCAGATAAAATTAAAAAAATACTTATAAATATTTATTTTTTGGAATTAAAATAACAAAACTAATAAAAAACAATGAATTTCTAACTTTCACCTACAAGTAGGTAAGCCATAAAGTCAATTCAACAGCTCTATTAGTATCATGTTCAGATATAAAAGGTTTATAAATTAGATAGTGTCTGAAGACTTCAATCACCAAGTTTTAGCAGTATTTGGACTTCTAATTAGGCATTGGGCTTAATCAAATAAATCCAAGTAAGTTTAACTTCTTTTTTTTTTTCATTTCTTAATATATTCTTCATATGTTTATTAATTGAAAAGCATTAAGATTGTACCCACTTCCTCTCTATTCATGAGTTAATATCTTTGATGGTCACTCCATTATCAATTTTTTTCTCAGAAAGTTACTTAACTTTGATCTTCAATTCAAAAGTCACTCAACTATGAGATTTTTGCATAGAAAGTCACTCAACCTATTTAATTTTTTTTTCATAAAAATTTGCTGACGTGAAATTTTTATTTCTAACCAAAATTTTAAGAAATAAACATATATCTATTTAAACCATTTAATGACCCACACCACTTGACCCAACCCAATATAAATATAATATTGACCCTCTTAATTTACCTTTATTTTCAAAAAT